ATCATTATTATTATAGAACTTTTTCTCTTGTTGGTATCATTTTAGGGCACTTGTGTGATTCCGCACAATGAAACTGATGATTTGAATTCAGTTGGAGCTATGAGGTCTGTGTTTGGACCGTTCGTTGAGCTCGTTAAATCATGGAACCTTCCTGACTGGCTCGTGCACTGGGGCCATCCCGGCAACATGGTACACTTGTCTGTTTGAAGGAAATTCCATTCCATTGATCCAATTAAGATTGCATCTACTGTCATTTATTTATTTAGTATTCCCTAAATGCTGTTATTGTTGTTGTTCCACTTTATAGGTTGTTGTGCTCTTTGCCATGGGTGGTTATCGAACTTACCTGGGAAGGCTGGGATTCATAATCCGGTTTCTAATGATGTGGTAACAACTATGCAATCTATCTTTTGTATTCATAACTGGATGGGTTCTTGAATGTATGTCTGTTTATATTTATAGTTCCGGCCTGTTTCTAAATTGGGTATACGAATATCATATCGAAGCAGCTTATGAAATCGTTTCTAAGATAGTGACATATTTTACCATGACAAAAAATAGTGGTACATATATAGTATTCATTCAAATTGGTGTACAATGAATGTGTAGGAGGAAAGAGCAAAAGCCAAAGACTTGCATAGCAAACTCCTTGCTGGAATGTTCTTTTTCTTTGCTCTTGGAGCTACTGGAGGTATAACTTCTTTGCACACTTCAGACAAACCCATCTTGGAAAGGTAATTAATTAATTTCCTCAGATTAAGTTAACCTTAGCTTATTTTCATCGAATCCATCAAACATACATGTCATCCGAAGTGTCTGTCTACAATTCTTGCAGCCGTCATGCAGTAACTTATAGCTATAATGTTTAGAAATCATATTATTATTTCACATTCTCTTACATTTCATGAGGCCAATTTAGAGCACTGTTCTTGAATTTTTGTTTGTTTCAAGTACTTTGTTTTTGACAAATTTCCTCTATTATTCTGTTCGGTTTTGCCAATTTATTTCTAATCACCAAGTGCTACTATAGATTCATTTCTAGGAACTATATGTTAAGGTTAATGCATTCTTTAAAAGTTTAAAGCCTTTTTGTGTATGCACATATCATCTTTTGCTAAGCCTAGATCAGTAGTTTGCCACGTGTGAATTACTTAATCTGTATATCGGCCTTATTTTGAACTATTATACTTTCTCAACGCGCAGGACTCTTTGAAAGAGACTGCTGGAGATGAACAAGGCCAATCAAATATCAAAGTAACCTGTAGGCTATGCTTTCGTGGTGACAATGAAGGAAGTGAAATAGCAAGGAAGATGTTGTCTTGCAAAACTTGTGATAAGAAGTATCATCGTAACTCCTTAAAAAGTTGGGCGCAACATAGAGGTTAGTTCATTGGCCTCAAGGATCTGATAGTCTGGCTTGTTCAACCTTCTGCACTGCGTGGTTCTAATTCATTTTTCTTTTGCAGATCTGTTTCATTGGAGTTCATGGACATGCCACCTGCACCCCCCCCCCCCCCCCCCCGTGTGGAATTTGAGAGGTGAATGTTCATATGTGCACAGGCGTGCACACACAGACATTGTTTTAAGACATAATCATTGCATTTTTTGTTTTTTTAGCGGGGGCAGAAAAAGGGGAAAAATATATCTAAGAACGGGTGACTTAATATCATCCAAACACTTTATGTTGTTTGCTAATTGATGATCTTAATGCCCACTTTAATATTTTTGCCCTTTATCCCAGTGTGTGTATGCTTGATTTGGTCTTATTCATATTATGCAAGAAATGTGATGCAACATTTCACTGTTACTCTTTGCAGCCTCCTCACATGGTTACTGCTCTCCTATTCTAGAGAAAGCCATAGGGTAAATTTTTTTTCTACTGATATGCGACATATTGTTTGTCTTTACATTTTTCAATTTCTTTTTGTGCTGATTAGCTGATTGATGGTTTTTGTAGACCAAGTGCAACTGATGTTACTGTTTTAGTCCACTTAAGTCCGGAGGATGAAGATGACATTGATGAAGAAGCTGTAAGAATTGCATCCGTGTATCATAGCTTTTGTCTTTTCTTTCTAGATTGACTTGTGTTAAATTTTCAAGTGTATATTCATGAATGGATTCTTTTCAAATGTATGAAATGTCTATATATTTTTAAGCAAATATCTTACCAGCTTGCAACAATATATATATATTCATTTCACTACTGAGGAATCTTCTGTAGTGAAATGAATTTTTTTATTGACTACATCCAGTTTTCCGACCACAGGTGGTCGGAAAATTGGACCCGCCCGAGTATTCTCCTAGTCATTTTTACCGACGGTGTTAGAAAAGTGGTCGCTATTTGCGACTACTTCTCCGGTGGTTGGAAATAGCTAGGGGGATTTTTCCGGATACCCAAATTGGTCGGAAAAGAGGTCGGAACAAGTGTTTCCGACCTAATTAAGGCCATTTCCGACCACTTTCAGGTGGTCGGAAATCTGCTGATTTCCAGCAGTGGAATAATTTCGTGTAATACAATTATGGGTGGTAAGGGTTCTAATTGCTTTCCAATCTCCTATTTATAGAGTTAGGAATCCTAATCAGAGTTTGCATATTGAAGACCTATGTTCTATTCCTAACAGGTTTATAGGTCTAGGGTTCCTAGTTAGAATCTGACTAGTAAAAGGTCTACTCTCTTTATTCCTAATAGGCTTAAGACTCGAGTCCACGATCCATAGTGGACCACACTAATTAATTAAAGAGAATCCTAACCAAATTTTTAAACTATTATTAACGGAATTAATTAAATAATTAGTCCAGGATTAAAGGCCGTAACACGGGGTGTTACACCCTTCCCCCCCCTCCCCCCCCCCCCCCCCCCCCCTTACAAGGAGCTTCGTCCCCGAAGCTCAGACACAGATCACTCCCCTCGCTCCTAGATGTCATGCAATTTGGTCTCCTAATTAAGGAAATGTGGCTCAAATTTGTCATTTAACGAGTATGGGGTGGGGGTTGATTAGGTCGGTGGTAAGTAGGGTCTGAGATTTCGAGTGTACCTTGGTTTCCCGCTCCCGAGCTTGAAGCTCCACACGTGCCCAACATGGTCTCGATTGCCGCCACCCTCCTGTCCAATGAGCTCGTCACGAGAATCAAGGAAGAGAATCCCTCATCCATGATCTGATTCTGCCTCATGAGCTGCGCGATGATGCGCTCATTGGTGGACCTCTCGTCTCGGTCCTCTGTGTTTCCCCTTCCTTGTGCAGGTTCAGATTGGCTGGGCTCGCTTTCTTCTTCCTGCTCCTCCTTGTGATACCCCATATTTTTGGACACTGTATTTTTCTAATTTTTTTTATTACTCGAGCTCCAAGTCTGACCTAATATTATCCTAAACCTATATTATTATTAAGCCTTATGGTTTTGTAATCCTTATATACATAAAATATTTTCCTAACATAATGTTTCCCCTAATCCTAACTTATACCTATAGTACGTCTTATATTCCAAACCCTAGTAAATACATATGTTAATCTACAATTTTAATAAGAGCGAATCTTGTTAAACCCTTAACTGGAATAAAAAAAATGTCGGTACACCAGATGCTCCTCCAAGTTGTACTTTGAGCTTTTGTAGTAGTACATTGCTAACCGCAGAACCTAATCTAACCTTAATGCCAATTGCAAATCCTAATATAACCTTTAAGTTGTTATAATTTAAACAAAAAAACACCGTCCGACTTAACGATTCCGTCAACAAAGCTATGCGGTGGCAAACTTGAAATTAATGTCAAATTGAGAGGCAATTACGAGAGGGGATTGAGGCAGAGAAGCACAGAAATTAGGCATCTGGTAGCAGTTCGAAGGAAAGGCAATTACGAGAGGGGATTGAGGACAATCCAGAGAAGCACAGAAATTAGGCATCCGGTAGCAGTTCGAAGAAACGATCTGCGGCGGACAATCCAGAGAAGCACATCAAAGAAATTAGGCAGTTCGAAGAAGCGATCTCCGGTAGCAGATTCTCTGGTCCTTCCAGTGTCGGAACAAAAAGTAATTGCATTTGTTTATGATTGTGAATTGTGATTAACGTACATCATAACTATGATCAATGTTTATGATTGTAATGTTCATCAGTGAAGTAAATGCCCATCTGACTTGTGAATTATTTATGAAGGGTCATATAACTAATTCACCCTAGGTTCATGGAATATGTAGTACTAATTCTAAGGTTATTGTTCACAATCTTAGTTTCGAAACATTGTGAATTGTGATCACTGTGTCAACATTAACACTAAGATTCAATAATAGCTGTATAACACTTGAGTTAACATTAACTAAATTATTTATGCTTCAGATTAATAAATTAGTGTTGTGGTAGTTCACTTTTTTAAATTTAACATGCTCCATTGATCATCCCCTACTTATAGATTGTTGGAATGTTGCTCTACATTGTGCTCAAGGATAAAGGTTAATACTGTGTAGTTTCTGGTTTCTTCTTGTGCTAATTCTTAAGTGTGTTTTGCCTCTCTTCTTTAGACGATAACATGATTTTCTTCCAATATGTGGTGCTTTTATTACTTGAATTCTAACCACCCTCGGATGCTCCTAATCATATATTCTCTAATTCTGTTTGTTTTAGCTGGCCTTAACAGCGATGCTTTCCTCAGTTTTATATGTGTTATATTGTGGCTTGTGTCAACAATGAGTTTAACATGGTATGATGAGCAGAAAGGAAAACCAGAAGTGCATGTAAAGCCATAACAGTAGTTTGCATTGTATGTTGTGATAATAGGCAAACTCCTTTCTCAAAAAGTTCCAAAGTTGAGGTTTTACAATTTTATGTAACTTAAGTTGGGGATAAACACTACTCAGATTATGGAAATTACATTCTGTTTTAAAACAATTGAATTTCATCAATGTAGGCTATTTCAACATATCATCAAATCTAATTTTTTAATCTCACATAATCTACAGTATTATAATATTTTTCTGTTTCTGATAATGTTTTAAAATCATTAATTATGTTCCTGCATTTATATTTCTAGCAACTTCATTTAATGGGAAATCCTAATATGTTTGCTCTTTATTGATTTGCAGTTGATATAATTTCTGACATTGAGTTTGATAAAACTGGCGACCATCTTGCTACTGGTGACCGTGGGGTTAGAGTGGTATTATTTGAAAGGAGTGATACAAAGGAGGTACGTTTGAAAAATTTGAGCAGATTATTTATTTATTTATTTTAAATTGAGTGATTTACTCACTGCTTTGTTTCTCCGACAAATAAATTTTAAAGCTTGTTGGAAGTCGAAGAGAGTTAGAGAGGACAGACTATCCTGTTAGTCGGCACCCAGAGTTCCGGTACAAGACAGAATTTCAAAGCCATAAACCTGAGGTATGCAATTATTCCAGGATATCTTAGCCTTTATTTGTCTTCACCTTATTGCCTTAACAATCATCCTTCGATTGCGAGATTAGGTGAACTGTAGTAGATGTGTAGTATACATGTAACAATTGCCCTATCTACTTGTGATGTGAATATCTTTGAACAAGATACTACTTTTTTCAATGTATATAGACTACACTACAAGAAATAAATCATAGATATAACTAATTGGTCCAAATTAAAAACATATCTTCAGATTTACCTTTAATTTAATGTAGAAAGATCAGAATTCACAATTGTATTCTCATTCATGAGTTTGAATTTATTGTTTTTAAATAGCTATGTTATGAAGTCTCGCGATTCTGAAGTCCCTGAATCCAGTCGTGATGCTCGGAATAGTAAACAAAGCGAGCAGTATGCTTGTAATGAGAGTCGACGGGCAGAGAGGAACTTGAGACGCCGAAATGCTTACGCAACAATGGATCCTGCTAAGAAACGAAAAATGCTAGATGATATTAACGAAAAGCGTCGCGTCAAAAGTAATGCAGCTAAATCTACACTAACTCACGACGTCTATGCTGGTATGCTTTTTAATTGTCATATTTGTCTTACTTTGAATTCAATTCTTTAACTTATGGACATTAGAACTAACTTGTTTACATGCATGCATTTGATTGATTATACATCACTTGCTTATGCAATTTAAAAAAATATTATATGATATTTCAAAATAAATAAAGGTCCTTCAGAAGTAGTACTCAGACAAACTTCTCAAGAATGTTTGCAACACAACAATACTCTTTCTTCTAATCTCGACCAGTCTTTTATGCTAAAAGATTGTTCTCCTTGTACCTATTGTAAAGCAAAGCGATTCCAATATGAACCACCTGGATTTTGTTGCTCCTCTGGCCAAGTGGTTTTGGTGTCTAATGAAATGCCTCCGCTATTGAAGCAATACTTCTGTGAGAAAGATGAAGTGTCACGTCATTTTCAAGCATGTGTTCGAACATACAACAACACATTTGCATTTACTTCACTAGGAATCCACAACTATGACAAAAATTTATCCAGGAGGAATAAAGGAATCTATACATTTAAGGTCCAAGGACAAATGTATCATTTTATCAATGATCTGGTGCCTGAAAATCAACCTCCTAAAAACTTGCAACTATATTTCTTTGATACTGAGCATGAGGTTGAAAATAGAATCAAAGGGGCAGAACGAATGGAGGCAAGTGTTGTTGAAAACCTGATTGATGTACTTGGAAGCAATCCGTATCCACAGTTCTTCAGAAATCTTAAGGATATATCAAGTATTGAAGATTGTAATATTGTAATTCGCTCAAATGCAACTTTAGATCAACGTGTTTACAACATGCCTACCTCTTCTCAAGTTGCAGCAATTTGGGTAGAAGAACAAGATGGTAGCGGAGAAAACAGTCGTGATATTAAAGTTTTTGCAAAAACTGGCCGTTCACATTCTGTCAAATACTATTATGGTTGTTATGATCCCTTGCAATATCCCCTATTGTTTCCCCACGGAGAAAGTGGTTGGCATGAGGGTATATCTAAGGTACCTAAATCTTATACAAATCGTACCTCGATTTGTCAAGGTATTCTTCAACCTGGACAATTTCCTTCAATAGAAGCTTTGTTAGACAAAGAAAATGAAAATATTGTTGGTAAGAGCAAGCAGAACACAGTTTCATGCAGAGAATATTATGCTTATCGTTTCCAAATTCGACCAAATGATAAGTCTATGCTCCTACATTCAGGAAGACTCTTTCAACAATTCATTGTTGACACGTATATCAAAATTGAGACACAAAGATTGGATTATTTTCGAGCACAACAACGTGATGTTCGAACAGAAAACATGCAAGGATTAGTGGATAGCATTGCATGCGGGGAAACAAATGCATCTAATGTCGGACGTAGAGTAATTTTACCCGTTTCTTTCATTGGAGGCCCACGGGATATGCGTAAAAGATACATGAATGCTATGACATTAGTGCAGCGATATGGTAAGCCAGATATTTTTTTAACGATAACTTGTAACCCAAATTGGCCTGAGATAAAAAATTCGCTTGAGTTTTGCGATGAACCACAAAATAGGCCTGATTTGATTTCCAGAGTGTTTCGTGCTAAGTTGGAAGAATTGAAAGTTGACCTCATAAAGAAAAAAGTTTTTGGAGTGGTGATAGCATACACTTATGTGATTGAATTCCAAAAGCGTGGGCTACCACATGCTCATTTCTTATTAATTTTGGGAAAAAATCACAAATTCAAATCAGGTTTGGATGTTGATGCAATTGTTAGTGCAGAAATACCTGACGCTGTTCACAACTCTTCTTTGCACTCTTTAGTAGCAAAACACATGATACATGGACCATGTGGTTCAATGAATCCTGAAAATCCATGTATGGTTGAAAAGTCTGGTGCTAGACTTTGTAAAAACAAATATCCGAAGGGCTATTCGGATGCAACAGTTATGGGAGAGAACTCATATCCTACTTATAAGCGACGGAACAATTCACGCTTTGTCACCGTCCGTGGCCACCAACTGGACAACAAATGGGTCATACCATATAACGCATATTTGTTATCTAAATTCGATTGTCATATCAATGTTGAAGTCTGTGCAAGTATTAAGTGTGTCAAGTACATATACAAGTATATATATAAAGGCCATGATAGAGTTGCATTTAGTGTGTCTTCCGGAGAAGAAGTCATTGATTTTGATGAAATAAAAGAATACCAGAATGCAAGATGGGTGTCACCTCCTGAAGCTGCATGGAGAATATATGGTTTTAGCCTTGCCGAAATAAAACCAGCAGTAGTGGACTTGCAGGTCCATTTGGAGAACTACCAGTACATGAGATTTGACAACAAACAAGATTTGATTCACCTTGTGGATAATCAATTTAGCTCAAAGACAATGTTAACAGAATTTTTCTTCATGAATATGACTGATGAGACAGCTAAGAGATTGAATTTATTGTATCTAGAATTCCCCGAGTTCTTTGTTTGGGTAAACAGAGATAAACAATGGTATCCAAGGAAAAAAAGAGAGGTTATAGGTCGATTGGTGAGTGTTAATCCCATTGAAGGAGAGAGATATTATTTGAGAATGTTGTTGATGAATGTCAGGGCTCCAAAATCATATGAACACTTAAAAATGGTTGGTGAATCTATGGCTACAACTTTCAGAGAAGTTGCAGAGAAATTAGGGTTGTTGCAGAGTGATCAAGTGATAGATCAATGTTTGCAGGAAGCCATGTGTTGGCAAATGCCTACAAGTTTTCGTAGGTTATTTGCAACCCTATTGATTTTTTGTAACATTCCTTCTCCCTATGATTTGTGGACGAAATACAAGGAACATCTTTGTGAAGACATAATTTCATCATGTAACAGTATAATTGATGCTGAAAATAAGTGTCTCCATATGATAAGTGATATACTTGAATCTTTGGGGAAGAATATAAATGACTTTGGTTTAGTTTCTTATCATATTGGTCTTTCAAAAGAACAAAGAATACACAAAGAAATACAAGCAGAAAAAAATTTGCTTCCTAATGAAACAGATTTACTTGCTATAACAAAGTTGAACCAATCTCAGCGAGTTGCCTTTGACACCATAATTTCTAGAGTTTACTCAAATTCAGGAGGGGTTTTCTTTGTTGATGGCCCAGGGGGAACTGGTAAAACATTTCTATACAGGTGCCTTTTAGCCCGTGTGAGAGCAAACCAAGACATTGCACTTGCAACTGCAACATCTGGGGTAGCTGCATCTCTTTTACCCGGAGGCCGAACAGCACATTCTCGATTTAAAATACCCATCAATGGAGATGATAAATTTGTATGCAATATTGGGAAACAAAGTGCCGAAGCCTCACTGCTTAGAGAGTGCAAGTTGATTTTATGGGATGAAGCAACTATGGCCAACCGTAGAGACATAGAAAATGTCGAAACAACTTTGCGAGATATAACAAACAATGACACAATCTTTGGTGGCAAAGTTGTAGTATTTGGAGGTGATTTTCGCCAAACATTACCTGTGATACGATCTGGAAGCAGACAGGATTTTATAGAAGCAAGTTTGGTTAAATCACATAAAATTTGGCCAATCGTTGAGAGATTGGTTTTGACAGAAAACATGCGGGCTAAAGAAGACCCATCTTTTTGTGAATACTTAATGCGCGTGGGAAATGGAACAGAAAAATATGTGGTTGGCAATTCAATTCAAATTCCAAGAACATTCCTTGTCCCATCTACAGATGAATTACAGTCTTTCAATTCATTAATTGACATAGTTTTCCCAGATTTAATGAACTTCACCCGCGATCCTTATCCACTCATGAAGCGAGGTATATTGACACCGAAGAATGAATTCGTGGATGAAATTAACAACTCCTTAATTGATAGATTTCCTGGAGACGAAAAATGCTATATAAGTTATGATGAGTTGCTTGATTCCACTTGCAAAAATGATTTTGTTGACTACTTGCATACTATCTCAGTACCTGGGTTACCTCCTCACAAGTTGATTGTAAAAAAGAATTGCCCAGTAATTTTGCTGAGGAATATTAATCCTGCAGAAGGACTTTGTAATGGTACCCGGTTAATATGTGATGACTTCCGTGATCATGTTATACGTTGTTTCATTGCTTCTGGGGAACACATTGGCAAACATGTTTTCATACCAAGAATACCACTTGAAGCTTCAAAGGATGAAAATTGTTCACTTCCATTTAAACGTCACCAATTTCCAATCAAAGTTTGTTTTGCCATGACAATAAATAAGGCACAAGGACAAACATTTGATTTTGTGGGGATTTACTTGAGACAACCGGTGTTTTCACATGGACAATTATATGTTGCATTATCAAGAGCAAAGAAAGCAGATTGTGTAAAAATGTTACTTTGCAATACTCATCGCGATACAACTACTACAGACCTAACTGATAACATTGTCTATCAAGAAATTCTAAATGAAGCTTGTGGATCACTTCTTTGATCTAACTAGGTTATTTTTTACACTTTCTGTGCAAAATATATTCATTTTATAAAACACAACATGCTTTAGTGAATACATTTTGATTTTAATATATTGTGTTTATACAGATTACTACTCTACGCATTCAGATGCTCGATTTGTCCAACTTATATTGACATTGATCCGGTATCAATATAAGGAATTAATGATTACGGTTGTTCTCTCCAAGAGATACAAAAACACAACTCTCAGCAGCTAGATTATCAAGTAACCTTCTTCACCTTTTCCCTTTATGCTCTAATTATTTATATTTGTTTATCCTCCCTATATGGCGGCACTGTTGCTAATGGATTGTTTACATGAAAATAACATCAAACTCTCATTTCTTTCAAGAATGTGTTGATAAAATTAAAAATGATGCTATAAGTGAAACTGCATAAAAAAAATCATGCATGCTATATTCATTGAATTTCTTCCTTTCATACTGGAGTAAATTGCATCTGGCTCCTATTTGAAAGTAAACAAGGCACTTGATAAAGGGTTCTGGAGTCTGGAATCTTTTT